GAGACCAACCCCATCTCACCACAACCTCCTTTCAGGTTGTTGTAAAGGGTGATAATGTCTGCTCTGAGCCTCTTCTCTTGGGATCAAGTAAAATACTGAAATCCTCTTCCCTCAGAAAGACATTTGGCTCAGACTTTGTCCTTAATTTTGAAGGGAAAACGCAGTTGTTGGGAGACGGTCACAATCCGAGCAGTTGGAACTGACCATTCCCATTGCTTGGCAGATGAAATACTGATTTCCCTTTCAGGAATAGCCCAAACTACTTGTTTGTACAGTGCTCTTGGGGCTGGCTGATGTAAAAGCTTTAAAAAACTTAAAAATTGGCTCTGTAGGTTTGGCTATAGTATTGGCATTCCTGACGAGTAAATAGCATCAATCATTGGCACAAGGGAACATAGTGAAGAATGAAGAGTGGAAACAAGTCCCTAGGGCTTGGGGAGTGATCACAGCTAGTCCAAGGAAACCCTGCATGAAGAGCCTCCTTGGAGGTTCCTTTCAGAAGGTCAGCATACAGAGGCTTCACTTAATGTAATGACTACATGTACAATTGCTGCGTTTGTATGTGGGTGTATATGTGTGTGCGTGTATGTGTGTATAGGTTTATGTTTGAGTGTGTGTGTATGTATTTGTGATGACTTTGAACGGGATTCAGAGAAGGAAGAAACAAAAAGGGATCCTTGCCTGCCAGAAATCTCTAATGCAAGGTTGTCTGGAAAGTATAGCATGCAAGGAATTAGACTGTTTACTGCCTTGTTGATACTGTTGACAGTCATCAAAAGTAATTTCAGCTTTGTGGTGGTTTTTTTTTTTTTTTTTTTCTTCAATACTGTTTGCAGACTAGACTGGCTTGATTCACAGAGCAATCTGTGCTTATGCTTCAGAGATGAGATTTTTCACAGAGGCAATTGCAGAGGTGTACAGAAATACGTTATTGCACTCGTTGATAGATCTACTGACAGGTGTGTAGTTGGGGAGAAAGATGGTATGCATCAGATGTGTGCAGGGTGGGACTGCGCTTTGCTGACATCTGGCAGAAGATCTGGGATCTGGGACAGCTGCTAGCACCACAGCATCACAAACAGCTTGAGGACCTGAGCGTAATGAAGATAAATGAGCTCAAGCTGGAAGCTGAATGGCCCTAAAGGTAGAAGTAGTAATGAGTGCGGTTACTCTGAATGCTGTACAGGCAGGCTTGCAAGACGTGTTTTTAGTGTCATGTCTTGTCCTTTACATACGTATACGTTCATTATTCCAGATTTCAGCCTACCTTACTGGTACGCTGATTAGTTTGAATTTCTGTAAAGCTGCTGTGGCACTTGACCCGATTTCTATGGTACAGTCTGATGGACTGACTGAGCGCTCAGATTTGTAGTGCAGTGCAGTCCGCTTACTTGGTAACACCAAATTAGCTGGAATAAGAAACCAGTGTCAAATTCAGGGACAAGTAACACAGTCGCTAATGGCCTGCCAGCAGCTGTGTGCCAGTGTGTGACAGTCTGAGAATTTTACGTTGGTTTCACAATTTAGCTAATTTGCTGTTATCAAGCAAAGCAGTGGGATTTAGAGATTTCAGTGTCCAACCAAGATAGGCAACTTTGTGGGCTATCTTTATTTTCGTGACAGATGATGAATTGTATGCTCTTATGGTTACTCTGCTTTACTTAAGGCCATTTCTCTTTGCTGCAGTTTTTACAAAGTGTGCAGAATGGTAGGGTATCCAGTTCTGAGACGAGCAAAAAGTAGGCAGCCAAAGAATATTGAATCTGTTTTTAGAAAATAAACCCAGTTGAGGAACTCCCTCTTCGTCCTGTTCTGCACTGACTATACAGGGGGATTGTTCATGAGCCTCAAGTGCTGGTCTTGACCATACCACACCTAGAGCTCCCTGCTTCTGAATTCATTAAAATATATATATATATATTATTATTTTTTTAATCCCAAAAGATAGCCCAGTGGTACAGAAGAAGCAGCTTCACGTAACACTTCCTTCTCTATCAGAGCACTATGGATATGAGCAGAAGCAGACTGCAGTCTGAACAGCAATCCAGAAGCCTTCTGTTTGCAGTGCTTCCTTTATAAGCTGAACAACCAAACTTACTCCATGCCTGTATCTATACTGCTGACCTTCAGGCTTGAACTATTTTTCTGTTACTAGCTTTTGATGTCTCATTTCTTTGCTTCCACAAAAACACTGATGAAAACGTTCTGGGTTTGTGTCAGATTTTTAATGTATGTTTTTCTTGGTAAGAATCTTTTCAGAATTTCAGGTACGTATGATCTGTGCAGAATAATGTGAAGCATGAACATTTTGTTAATGAGGCAGTTGTTTGTAGTTTTCAATATTTTCTTAAGAAAACTGGACTTTAAAGATAAGATTTTCCAAGAAATCTTTGATATATTCCCATGAGGAACTGCTAAAGATTCATGATACGATGACTTCAAAGCTTCTAAAAAAATCCTCTCTTCAGTTCTATATACTTCTCCTTCCTACTGAATTTGTTCTGTATTTCTAAAGAGGATAAATATATCATGTCCAGGTATTCCAACACAGATGTATTCTGTGAAGACTGGAAACTCTTGCTCAATAACCAAATTTCGGTGGTTGTTTTTTGCTTGGAACATAGCTGATACAGTTGCTGCTTTCTGGCACGTGTTAAATTCACTGCTTTATGCTGCGATGGCCAGCCATGAGCGTTGTGACTGCTACAGAACCCCAGTCTGGCTGAGGCAGGCAGGGCCCTGTGTGTCCCTCTGTATCCCTGTGTCCCAGCCCCTGCTCCAGCAGCACCACCCAGAGCAGGGTGCCCAGGCCCACGGCCAGGCGGTTCTGGAGAGCTGCAGGGAGGAGACCCCACAGCCTCTGGGCAGCCTGTGCCAGTGCTGCCAGTGCTCTGGCACCCGCACAGCGCAGCACTGCTCCTGGTGTTCAGGGGGAGCCTCCTGGGATACAGTTTGTGCCCATGGCTTTTTGGTCTGGCATGGGGCACCACTGCAGAGAGCCAGGCTCTGTTTGCTTTGCATCCTCCTTTCAGGTGTTTATAGGCATTGGTAAGATACTTGTGAGCCTCTTCTTTAGGCTAAACAGTCCCTAGCCCTCTCAGCCTTTCCTCACAGGGAGGATGCTCCAGTTTCTTAATCATCCCTGTGGCCTGACATTGGACTCTCTCCACTATGCCCGTATTTCTTTTGTACTGAGTTCCCCAGAACTGGACACAGTATTCTAAGCGCAGCTTCCCCAACGCTGACTTCAGCGGAAGGATCACCTCTCTTGACCTTCTGGTGATACTTTGCCTAATGCAGCCAAGAATATTGTTAGCCCTCCTCGCAGCAAATGCACATTACTGACTCGCATCCGACTTGGTGTCCACCAGGAGATTCTAGATCATTTTCTGCAGAGCTGCTTTGCGGTTCGGTGGAACTGAGCACATAGTGGTACCTGCAGTTGGCTGTTTTTCCCCCAGTGCAAGACTGCACTTCTCCTTATTGAACTCCATGAGGTTCCTTGTTAGCCCACCTCCCCAGCTTGTCATTGACCCCCTGAGTGGCAGTGTGGCCCTCTGGTGAGTCAGCCATTCCCACCAATTGTCATCCATGAGTTTACTGAGGGTGCGCTCTACCCCACTGTCATGACCTTTAATGACTTTTAATGTTAAGCAGGACAGGCCCAGGACTGACCCCTGGAGTACTTTGCTCATTACTGGGCTCCAGCCAGGCTTCGTGCCACTGACCACTGCCCTGTAGCTAGTTTTCAGTCTGCAGTTTTAACTTATTGGCCGCCTTTCATCATTAGGGAGGTGGTTGAGTCACCATCCTTGTGTTTAAAAACCATTTGGATGTGGTGCTCAGGGACATGATGTAGCAGAGGGTTGTTAGAGTTGGGGTACTATGGTTAGGTCATGGTTGGACTCAATGATCTTTAAGGTCTATTCCAACTTGAGTGATTCTATGATTAGTACTCATGGTATGCACAAACTCTCAGCTGTTCTTATTTTGGAGCAAGAGTTGAAGGTGGTTTATTTGTTTTGCATTGGTTCATCATTATTTCAGAACTGTAGATTTTGCAGATGGAATAATAATAATGTTGCTTAGTTTAATAGCTTAGTATTTTTGTCATTATATTTGCTTGATATGAATCTGCTATGGCATTGCGGAGAGAAATTGGGATAACATTTCATCATAGAGTGGCTTGACTTGGAAGGGACCCCAAGGATGACCAAGTTCCAGTCCCCTTGCCAGAGTTCCTTCAGCCTGTCTTTGTGCTCCAGCCCTTGGGTCATCTTCACATTTCACAGAAGGTTAATAGCTGAGCCATGTTGGCCCTGTGTCTGTTCCTCATTGCTTCAGACTTCAGACTAAATTTGGTTTTTGTCTTCCTCTTCGCATGATATTTTATTTCGTTATTATTTTTTTCCATATGACTTCAAGCAACTTGCTTTCCCATGTCATGATTATAGTCATTCTGGTATATTAATGAAAATGTGGCTTTATTAACAGTTTGTCATGACTGTACAGAATTTTCCCTTACTGTGGACAGCACAGATCTGTGACTTGCTTTTGGCAGGGCCATACATTTATGCCTACTTTAGCGATGTCCAAGGGGAAAGCAGAAAAAGGAGATGCAAAGAATCAGCGCATCATATGAAGGGGTCTCATGGCTGATGTCTTGACCTCTGTGCAGTGGAGTGGCACAGGCACCGACACATCCTGCTGCCTCTGCTGCAGGAGCATCAATGTCTGGTGCAGCTCTGTATGGACCTTGGAGATGGTGGCGTCTTCTGCCTCACAGATTTGCCACAACTTTTCTCTTTGAGCTCTTTGTGTTCCATCTGTGCCAGGCATCCTTTCTTTCCTCATAGCTTATTTATTATGATTTTTTTTAAACCTACTCCAGTTTGTCGAGTTCTGTGTTTTTCTGCAAATACAGAGGTGCTTAGAACTGAAGAAGAGTACTCTTTTCAGGAGTGTTTTCAAGCTGGTATTCCTTGTAATTCTCTCTGCAGCTGAGCCTTTGCAGAGGTTTTACAAGAGGCTGAGCGTGACAAGCACTTGCTGATAGTCTTCCTGGATTGCTGCTCCACATTCATTATCCCTTGGAAGGTTTGTTATTTGTTAGTCTTCCAGTGCTGCCATAGTTCTTCTGTTGGTTTGTAAGTCATTGAGATGGTTTGAGTCGTTTCATCTGGTGTCATATCGACTACATTCTCTTTCAGATCTCTTTCAGCTGTCTGGTTGCTGTGTGATATGGGATACAGGGTTAGGCCAGCAGCAGAAAGGCCTGGACTGCAGCCCCAGCCTTGGGGCTGCTTTGCTCCACGAGCTGTAAGGATGGCCTTGCCACTCCACTGCAGCCGTTCCCCCCACCTTTAAGAGATGAACAATGTACCATGTGTTTCCGTCTGTGCTTCGAAAGTGTGCTTAAACAGAAGTGGGAAAGGCCTCTGTTCTCAGTGACGTGCTGCCTCAGCAGGAGGAGCCTTCAGCTTCATGAACTGCTTGCCTCAAGCATCTAAACCTTGTCTCCTAGGAAAGCTGAGTGATTAATGGGCATTAATGATGAGCATGTATTCCAACAGGCTGGTGTTTCAAATACTGTCTTATTTCATCTTTTTTCCTCAGTATTTCCTTTTTTTTTTTTTACCTTTAGTTCTCCCCACCAAAGCAAAAAAGGTGTTGCTCCTACTCCTAGGTTCTTTTAGGCTACTGCTAGGTCACTTTAATTGTGTTTCCCTCTGACAAAGTAAAATACATGAAAGGTTCAGGTCAAATGAAGTTTCCAAGTGCTATAAAATGCACCTGATGGGGCCTGGGTTTGAGCACTGACAACGTGAGTGGTGCTGTGCTAAGGCCTGTCTTGGCCTCTGTCCAGCTACTGCAGAAGTGTACACGCAGAACTTGACGTTTTTGTCTGAACATGTAGTGTCTGTGTAAATGGATTGTTAACATGTGCTCAGGACAAAAACACGTTTACTAATTTACCTGGTGACACATGTCGTTTTCTGTAGTGGCTACCCTCCTGGTGCTGTGGGGAGCCTTATGTGGGGTTGATTGAGTTGAGCTAGCGGCTTGCCCAGAGCTGCAAGAACTGCAGGCTGTGCTCAGCTCACCCTGGCTTTAGGTTAGCCGGTGTGCCAGGAGCCAATTTAATTTGTTAACCCAGCAAAGAACAAAACACTAAATTATTTTCTTTTGGATTATTAAGGTTCATTGGCTCAGTGAAGGGTCTGAGGAGGTTGAGAGTGTCTTTAAAATTCCCCATCCAGTGTCCAGATTTGATCCTTCTCATTATGACAGACGTTAGGTAGCCTAATCCCCTTGTACTTGCTTAATATTTGCTCACTGCTGTTCTGTTGCGTTCTGTAACCTTCTTGGTCATCTAGATCAAAGTGATTTAGAGAGAAGTATGCAGCCTGGCAATATGCTGTATTATTTTAGAGTGGGTAATTGCCATCTTTAAGGCCCATTTTATATAAAGGCATAATAAACATATTGAATCAGAGTTGAAAGTGCCGTAATGAGTGAGACTAGCATCATACATTAGCTCTCTGAAAGGGTAGATAACTGCAGGACAAGGGGAAATGGTTTTAAGTTGAGGGAGGGAAGATTTATGTTGGATGTCAGGGGGAAGTTCTTTCCAGAGAGAGTGGTGAGGTGCTGGAACAGGCTGCCCAGAGAGGCTGTGGATGCCCCGTCCCTGGAGGTGTTCAAGACCAGGTTGGATGGGGCCCTGGGCAGCCTGGTCTAGTATTAAATGGGGAGGCTGGTGGCCCTGCATGTGGCAGGGGGGTTGGAGATTCATGATCCTTGAGGTCCCTTCCAACCATGGCCATTCTGTGATTCTGTGAAAACTTTAATAATGTCCACTGCAGCATGCTGATATTTACATGTGTGTGTACGTGAGGCAGAGACTGAAAAAGGGAAAAGGTCTGCTTCTAGTTTGCAAGTAGCAGATGCTTATGATCGTGATGGCTCATACTTAATGATTTTTTCTTCCAGAGTGAAGTGTGCATATGTAACTGAATGGCTGCAACTTTCAGAAGTTGCTCTAAAAGTAATGCCTCCTATTTATTTTCATGGAAACTGCAAGAGTTATAAAGTGCACAGTAACATGTTGGAGCTACAAAACACTATTTTTTCAATATAGTGACCAGTATTAGCCAAATGATGTAGATAAGCTACTTGAGTCACTCTTCATTCTGTGCTATGACAGCTGTGCGTGGCTGCCCAGAACGTGGCTTGTCTTTCATGTCACTGTTGCCACTGCTGAAATGCGCCACCCACTTCACTGTGCTCACACCCACTACTTGGTCTCCATGATGTTCAGCAAGTGTCTATGAGTGCCAATAGATGCTGTTTTTTCCACATGGTGGAATTCAGTGACATCCTTTTGCTTCATACACTCTTCCATGTCAGACGCCGTTCTGTCGGACTGCCCCTCTGCCGCCATCTGTCACACAGCAACAGTGTGTAATGGGATACTGGTGGGAAGGTTCAGCATCTGCTGTATTACCACCACCATCCATCTCTGATGTTATGGGCCAACATGTTAAAATGGGAGGCATGACTTAGAGCAGCCCTCTTATATTATATGAGTTACTATATTGTGAACTGCTAATAGTAATAATAAAAGCCATCTAAGCTATGTATGTGAAGTGGTTTGGCTTACACTTTTCCTTCATGTTTCTTTTGGCTCCTAATCTTGGATCCTTTTTCCATATTTCATCAAGTCTATTTGCCATTCTGAACGTGTGTGGGCCACTGGATCATCCAGACAGAGGAACATTTACAGAAAGGTGTGAGCTCCAGAGTATTTCCTGATGTTGATTATTTAATGGTATCACTTGAATTGCAGTGGATTGATTCCTCCATTTTGGATTTGATAAATAGAACAGATTTCCTTTGTATGAAATATAACCAGCCAAAGACTGATGTAATAACACAGCCATTGTGGAAGTCCTTTCTTCAGTACTGGTGGTGTATATGGCATACGGTGACTTCAGGAGAATTCCTAAAACAGCTTTTGAATTAACAAGGCTGTAGAACAGTATCTTTGTGTCTAGTGACATTTTCAGACACTGTGTGTGCTTAAACTTTCCTGTGTACTTAGATGCAGGCAAGTCAGATTTACTTATAAGTATACATGGAGTATTGGTCTGCAGCTTTGTCTTTTGTCTTCCTGCAATTTCTGCCTCCAACTGCAGCTTTCTTGTTGACGCCTCTTGACTCATAAAAGGTTTTAATTTAATTAATTTTAAAGAATAGAATCAATTGAATCGATTCAGTTTGTGTTTTACAGCACAGTGCCAGTTGATGAAAATTGAATTGCATTTGCTTCATTGCTATTTGGCTTGCAGTAGTATTGCTGTCTGGTTGTAGAAGTCACCGGTTTGTGGCACTCAGATGAACTGACTGTGTTGTCCTGTGAGCAAGTTTCTATGTTTCCTGCTGGCTTTTGGTTCTCCTTTACTTGTGCCTGTCGAGTTGAGACGGAGAGGTGTGTGGTCCCTAATTTTTCATTCCCTGCCTTCTCAGCTAATGCATTTCTTCTTCTCTGTTAATCAAAGCACTGTTTAAAAAACTTTTACCCCCAGCTCCTTGCTGGATGAAGTCTGTGGGAACAGATTAGTCAGGAAGTGGAAGAGTGATGTGCAGTAAATAGTATATCCTGCTAAAGACAGGCTTGTTTTTATTCCCTCCTTATGGTGTCTTATTACGTGGCACTTTATACCACTGTTCTTTATAGTATACTGTAAAACTGGTGAGACATTTCAGTACGTAAGACAATATTGTGCTTTTTTTTGCCATAGGCTTCTCAATAATCTTAACCTCAGAGTAAAATCAGGCTGTGAATGGCAGTACTTTCCTTGTGCCTCTGTTTGACTAGAAAGTTATGTTTCTGTCCTTTGTGTGTGCTCTGTATGTTGTTGTTTTTTTTTTTTTAATGGTCATTGATCAGCACATAAAAATCACGGGGAATGGAAATGTAATTACTGAGAAAGACAAATAGACAGTAGCAGCAGGTTGCATCAGAAACCTGGCCAGAATGTCTGATGACAGGGGAAAAACTGAAATAAAATTCTGGTGTGATGTGCAAGAATTGACAACTAAAACTAATGATCCTTGAATTAAAAAAAAAAAAAAGGTTGAAGACTGTGCCAGTTAATGAAAAATCATGCTGAATCATTGTTGGAGCTTGGCTCCCTTTCTAGGATAGAATATTTATTTGGCAGAGATGCACTGCATAATGTAGTGCAAAAGCTGCATGGAAACAAAATTAGCAAGCCAGTTCCTGAGGTTTCTTTCTGTGGATACCAAGAAGACATCCCTTTTCAGTGAGCTGTGCTGGTGAACTGGTAATGGTGGAGCCTTCTGTTAACATGGGACGTTCCTTGAGGTTCTCTTGCTTCTTACAGGACTCTGTGAGGAACAATAGCAAGGCTGGGAACCTTGTTTTTCCCTATTAGTGACATTGCTCTGACTTTTTCTAAACCTTCCATGGGCTGTTCTCACAGTCCTTGACCTACCGTTGGAATCGCGTTAGGCTTCATATTCTAGAGCAGAGCTAGTCCCTGAAGGAAACACAATATTGATGCCATATAATTGGGGTCATCTTTACACTTTCTTTTTTCCTGCTTCACTGACCCCCAAGCAAGGTGGAAGTGCACAGGGGCTGGGGGAGACTGGAAGGAGTAAAAGAGAAAGTGCTGATATGGCTGGGAGGAAAGGCTGCTCAGCAGGTAGCGGGTTGCTCATCTACTCCTCATCTTGCACACAGTTCTGGGAGGCCCTGGCTTTGGCTGCTGACAGCCTGATTTGCAATTATATAAAGTTAGCATAACTCTTTGCAATCTAGGATGTATCAGAGTATCTGTTTCCAGTGTGGTCTTGTTGCGTTTTCCAAGAGAGAAGGACTATTTCTCTTTTCTTGTCTTGTGGTACCACAACTGGACCGTCTTCCTTACCCTAGCAGGTGATCAACCTCTGTATTTTGAAAAGTGTGAGGTTTGCCTGGTTTTCCTGTCCTTATGTGATATATAAAAATATACTCAGGACGGTACTGCTTCATGCTAAGGGTCGCATGGTGGCATATCAGTTTTAAGTGCATATATCATAATGCGTACACGCAACAGCTGTTTCTTGCAAGTGACACAGTCTTCTTTGCCTTTCTTCCCTTATCAGATATAAGAAACATTTCTATCTAAACATGGGTGAAACGGAGCAGAGGCCAACAGCAGGATCCCGGTTAGGAGCTCAGGAGAACGCTGGGATCAGTACCTTGGAGCATGGACAGAAACCACCTCTGACACCTCCAGGAAAACTCATCTCCATCAAAATTCAGATGCTGGATGACACGCAAGAAACTTTTGAAGTTCCGGTAAGGATGTGAGGGTTGGGTGGCTGAGGATTGTTGAAACATTTCTCAAAATACATGGTTTAAAACCAGTTCTCTTTTTATTTCTGCTCTGCAATTTTTTGATTAATGGATTTGTGTTGCAGAGAAAATGGCGTGTATGATGATGCAACAGAATAACATTAAACAGTTAAGTGAATTGTAAATTACAGTTAGTATTTGGTTTCTGCTTGAACAGCTTCAAAGGAAGTGACTGTCTTTTGGTGGTTTTTTTCTCTCTTCATGTATTACATCACTGGCTTCCCCTACTTTCTGAATACTTGATGTATTTCCTTGCTGTTCTTGTGCTCTTGATCTAATAAACTATAGCACTAGATGACTTTTATTTTCCAGCCCTCTGGCAATTACTTACAGTGGTAACTTGAAATCATCGAAGTTATCACCAATTTATCAGTCATACAGGCACCAAGTGCTCATATGTGCAGTGAGGGCTGGGAAAGAATCAAAGCTACCTCATGTAAAGTTTCTCTCTGCGGTCACTGCACGCTGGTGTTAATCTAGGTTTGTACTTGCCAAGTGCGCAGTTACTACTGCTTTTCTGTGTGTGTTCGTGATCAGAGGAATTAGTTTGAATTAATTTTGATACAGTAACACAGTAACAGGGATGTTTTATGCTATCTGTTAGCAACCATTAATGACTTTAACATGCTGCGCTCAGGTGTTTAACATGGTAAGACTGTTGAACACCGCTGATGTTATGAAAGAGTACTGGAATGTATGTGTTCCAAAGTTCTCGACATTCAGTGAATAGGAAACTGGAAACCTGAGTTCAAATTTCATCCTTTGTTACGTGCGTTTTATGTTGCCATAGTAACCTCCATGCTTTCTTTGGCTCAGTTTTCCCTTTTGTGAAATGGGGGGTAACCAGCGAGATGTGTAGAGGTCACTGCATATGCTGTATAAAATTGCTGACGCTTACTGGTGAAATATTATCCCTGTATTAAAGTTGAAAGAGTTATGATTAGGAAAATCCACATAAAAATTAAGTTTTCCTTGTTTGTAAGGTGTTTTGTGGGTGTGTACATGCGTGTGCCTCTTGGGCTGCTCTCTGCTGCTATTTGTGAGTTGACTGGAACTGCATGGGCAGTCTTAGAATTTCTTGCAGTAGAAAGAGAACTCTCCAGACACGTATTTGTAAACAGCACTGTCACAAATTGAAAGGATCGCCCTATATAGCAGCTTGATATGGTTTTGCACCCTTCAGAATGCCTGCTGCATATCTACAGTGAGCAGAATAAAATCAGTAGTTTTGGAGTACAAACTGCTGTTCAAAAATACAGCTCTAGTTTAAAATACCAGATTCTGATGAGAATTTTGCTGCATGTTGTATGTAGTACAAATTCCCAGAAATGGCAGATGAGAGGTGATGATTTTATTTCCTAGCTGTTAAAAGCTTTCAAAAACTCTTGGGAAATAACACAATTAATTAAAGTTTATAATGCTCTTTAACAAACATTTAGTAGGAGCTATTTTCAAATCAAATCCCATTCATTAAATTGTATAGAAGCAGGCTTGAGTAACAGGTGGCTGCAGTACAGCTGTGTAACTCTAGCTTTGCTTCTCTAGCAGTTTGAGAAAACATTTTTTTCCACCTTCAGTATTAGAAGACTCCCAGATTTCTTTCTGTTTATAAACATAAGTGGCTTCTGGAAGACCTAGGTTGGAACAACCATTCAGATCACTTCAGTGTGAATATTTCCTCAGGCATTTACTTCATAACTACGTCCATTCAATGAGAGCCCAATGGGTTTTAAAATCAGAACTAATGAAATATACAGAATATTTGGAGCAGATTCCTGAAGCTTTTTGTCTCCAAGTTATGCGTAGCCAAATGGAACTATAAACATGATTTTCAGTCTGTTCTAAAAGACATTAATTTTTTAGTCCCATCTCAAAGAAGCGGATTTTTTTTCCAATGCATACAAATTGTTTATTCACGTTGAAAAAGCATACTTTTTTTTTGCTACCAGATTGGTGCAGTATACAGAGAGAAAAGAAAGTGATGCCATTTCAGAGACAGAATATTTTAGGAGCAGCAAGTATGGCTGTGGCAGGAGATGTTAAACGTATATATCTGAGCACATCTGTTTGCTTTTTGCACTACTGGGGGTCTGAGCTGCTTTTTCTGAAACTTCAGCTCCTGGCTAAACCTTCCAAATACAGTATGAGAATAAATCAATCAGCTGTTGTGTTTCTCACAGCTTCAGGAGTTTTGCTGGGTGTTATTTTCTCTGTTAGCAAATAGAGCAAACTTTGACTGGTTTTGTGTCTGCTTACTCTTTACTTTGTAGGAAGGTATGAATTTTGTTATGCCACTTTACTGTTTGCTTGTGAACTCTGTAAAAATAGAAACCAGCAGTGGTGCTTCTCCTTCCTGACCTCTGAGACAGAAGTAAAATAATTGGGACTATCCATCTGCCTAGTCCTCCTTCCTTGCTACTCCTAGAATTTCTGTTGTTGTATCATCAGCCTACCCATTAGTTAAAACTGGAACAGAGTCTTAGTCCATGTGATCTTTTTCATGTCTTGTTTTATGGGTTATGTGTTTTAATTATCTTCCAGTGGACAAAATTAAATCCCATTGCACTTAGGCAATACTTTTCCTCTCACCATATGCAAATAACCTATGTTATTAGAGCAAAATCTTTGAGATTTGTCTGCTCTGTATATAACAGCAGAAAAGCATGACCTACTTCCATGCCTCTCACCAGTGCTGCTGGTTAAAAGTGAAGTAGCTACTGTCGTTTCACCTTCACTGTGGAGAAGTGTTGACCAGCTTCTGTGTTGTGGTGCTATCTAATTATACTATGTCCAGCACGTATCAGTATGGGCCTGTAAATCTGTCCTGAACTCTCAGACAAGAGCTGCCTTCAGCTGCAGTAATAGGTGGTCAGTGCCTGAAAACCAGGCCTCTTGCTCAAGGCTAATGCCCACACAGTGCTTGGAGCTGTTGGCCACGGTGGTGGCTCTATGAATGGACAGCATGCAAATGTGTAATCAATTTCTGTTCCTTTTTTCTTTTCTGTTCTTCTTTTTTTGCTTTTAAGTGTGCCTTCTGATTAGGCTATGTTTGCTGAAAAATGAAAAAATTAGTTAGGCATGTTAACTGGAGGTGCTCAGAGGTCCAAAATTCGGCTGATGATTGGTTGAGTTATGACCATCTGATGGAATGAGCAATTGCAGTCCTTTTTGTCACTATGTGAGTGGACAACAGCTTTCACCAAAATGACTAACGTGAAGGAAGAAGAACATTTGTTCACGTTTGTACACATAATGATAATCATATCTAGGTAGATCTAGGGCATTTTTTGAAAGGTTAACACTTCAACTGTATGGCTTATGAAACACAACAAACAGGTTTTGTGTCATACAAGAGATGTAGGAATGTACAGTTCTGCTTTTATTGTGTTCAGTTTCATATCTAGTTAATTTGAAGAGAATGGGGTTGATTTTATTAAAACAGCAAGAATAATGTCTTTTCCTATATATATATTTTTTTAACCTGGTCTCTCCTGTAGGTTCAAACCAGTTTGTATAATAAGAAGTTAAGTTTTAAAAGACAGCAAAAATAGCTGATGGTTGTATTTACTGAAGGTCATTCTGGAAAAAAAACCAAAACCAACAGCTTAATGCTTATGCCACTATGAAATTTATATTATTTCTTGCACTGAAGCGTTAATAAAAATAAACAGAATCTGCTTGAAAACTACTCCTAAGCAGGAAGAATCAGTGCTGTTCCTTTCCAGGTGATGCTGAAGGCGTTACCGATTCTCATGTGAAGCTGCTGTAGGAGTCAGTGACTCAGACCAGGTCTAACCATGACTGATGTGATGCCTGTCACCGGTCGTATCAGAGTCTGGGAGTGAACGGTGCTGATTTGACTGGAATGATGCTATTGGTGCTAAACAGAAAGTCAGAGCTGTTTTTTTCCCTTTAGCATCAAAGGTGAGATCAAAGTATATCACAGGAGGTGAGGCTTCTTTTCTCAGTAAAGCTCTGGTCTCTTTAATCACAAGCAAACCACACTCCTCTTTATTGTGTCTAAAAGAAAATAGTTGCTTCCTTGTTGTGGCTGTCTTTTGGAAAGACCAAACATGCTTGCCTGTCAGATTACCGCAGTTTATTAAACATCTGTTTTCTGTCTCATGTAAACTGTCTTTTCCTCAGAATGTGTTCAAGCTTAGTGAAATAGGCTGGCTTGGAAAATGTCATTCACTTTGAGGGATTAACACCTGGTTTATTAAGCGAAAGGAGTCTCTTAATAGAAAGCGGGGTGAGGGTATAATCCTTAGTAAACATCAGCTGTAAACATTTCGTTTCTATTTGCTTTCTCAGAAGAAGAGAGAGACTTCTTTTAGAAGATCTGAGAATAAAGACCAAACGGTCTTGGTCTACAAGTATTTATCTGCCACTGGAGTTCAGATGTGCGTTGGCAGGGAATTTCGTTGCCTCATGTTCAGACTTCTGAAGAAAAAAAAGACCTCATAATCCTGCTTGGGCTGTATTTCTTAAGGCTCGTGGTCTGGCGTGGGGATTTTGGTTGGTTGGTTTTGTTTGTTTGTGCAACCATATAAAGGTGGCTCATATTCCCTTTGTGGGGAAAGTACCTTCTATTAAGGGTACTCCCAGCTAACTTGAGGCTGGTGTAAGTATGTCTGGAGAAGCTTCATATTAAAAGCTCTCAATACTTAACAACAAACATTACGTGTGCTGTCTTAAAATTTGTACAGACATCGTGTTACTCCATTAAGAAATTTCAGCTACATTTTATAAATGCATACGTTATTTTCCATAACATTTATGGGCTGTGCTAATTGTTCTGTCCTAGATATTTACCCCTCTCCTCAATGCACATATTATATCCATTAAAGTATCTCAGAATAAAACAACGATTTCCAAAGGACGTCAGACAATAAGGCAGTGCAGAAACATGAAACAGTGTTTTATGCTTTCTTAGGCAGCTC